TGCTAAAACCATAAATATATGCTCCTGTTTCTCTACCTCTCCAACCATTGCAGGGGGATGTGTTTGTGGGAGAAAAACTTCGTGGCCTCAAATTACGAAGAGGCAGGTTGAGCTGGCTGCAAAGGTCCCTGACATGTCCATCACCATCCCCCTGCCAGCCCAGCCTTCCTGGGGTGCCTCCCGCGAATCCCTGCTAAGGAAGGTCGCCTGCAGATCGTAGAGACTTGCGGAAGCGATGGCAGTTTTATCTGTACGGGCCAGAGACGTTACAATACCCTGCCCTTGGGCAAGGCTCTGAGGGGGGTGAAAGTGCGCTGGGCCCACCCACATCACCAGGCCGCCCTCGGGCAGAGAGACTCCAGGCGGTCCCTTCCAGCGCCGCGCACACGCATTCACTCACACGCAGACGCGCACACTCCACCGCGGCCAAGTTAAAAGAGGGGTTTTTCTCCAAGGCAGAGGAAATGAGTGGACGCCCTGGTGTATTTTCCTAGTTTTGTTTCTTGCCTCTGCTCCCCCAAGCCCCGGCTCGGGTTCCCGAGGTTTCGGGTTCCCCGCCTGCCCTCCAACCCCCGGCTCGTGGGCTGGCTGGGGTCCGGGCACTGCGGGACGGAGCGGTGGCGTGAGACGGAAGTCGCCCCGCGCCCTCCGCGCCCCTCCGGCTGTGGCCCCTGGGCAAGGGCCACCCATGCCCGACCACGCGGCCGCCCGAGCGCCGGCCTGAGTCGCGGGTGCGGAGGCCCGCAGCCATCAGAGGCCAGGGCTCCCCGCGGACCGTGGGCGCGGGCCGGGGCGGTGGGGCGCGGGCGCACGGTTCCCGGCCCGGCTGCGGGAGGCAGCCAGGCCCCCGGCGGGGCGCGGACGGGAGCAGCACTTACCTGCGGCGGCGGCGGCGGGGTAGGGGTGCGGGCGCTCTGGGACGCGGGGCCAGGCGGACGCCAGCGGGCCGGGGCCTGGCCGTCCCACCGCCCTCTGTCCCCCGCGCCTCGGGCCGCGCGCGCCGGGGCCGGGCCGGGCCCAGACGCACTTCCTCAATCCAGCGGGCGGGGAGGGCGGGCAGCGGGCGGCGCGAAGAGCGCACAGGGCAAGGCCGCTGCACTTGGAGGGTCGGACGCTGCTTGCTCTCCCCTTGGTGGCCTGCCTCAGTTTCCCCAGCTGGAGAACACGGGTGATCACGTTCATTGCGCGTGCTCCGGGAGACGCTAGGGTCCTAGGGCCCTTCTAGTGCCTGGTCGCCTCCTGGTTGGGGCACCCTACTCTCTCCATGCGGGCCAGAGGCAGCAATGTCTGCTCTAGTAGCAGCACAATTGGCAGTTTAACTTCCTTCTAACGTGTATGTTGGCCATATACTATAGTTGTAAATATTAAAAAGATGGGAATGTTAAATTTATGTACAGCTCTTTACAGGGCAGTATAGAAATATGTAGACCTAAAGCGTTAATATTTTCCAAACTGCACTCCTTCCACACTTGAATGTATTAATTTAATTATGGATGTATGCAAAGATATTGCTATTTAGTGAATCATTTTCGATTGTCTGCTTTGGAGGGGGAGGTAAGTAAAACATGGTGGAATTTTGGCAATTTATCATGTCTCAACCTATCATAAGGGTGCTCATCTCACTACTGAGGGTAATACGCAAACGCAGACCATAAAGATCCACACCCATGCTGCAGGCGGGCTTTGACTGGGCTGCACATGCCCACCCAGGAAGAGCCTGCTCAGAAAACGCGGATGGTTCTACACCCTGGCAGGACCAGCACCCTACATTCCTCTCATGTAATATAATGACTCAGATATTCCCAGGATTTATAGCAAAGCACAGAGGCTAATCTCCACAACCCTCACTGCCATTTCACGAAACCCGGGTGCTGCAGGGTCCCCACAGTCTTGCTGACACCGCTCCCTGGGTCCCTGGCTGGCAAGGGAACCACTGAGCAGCTTTGCTCTGCTCCCAACAGGGCGGCCCGAGCCAGCTCTCCCGCCTCCGGACGCCCTTCCCAAAGGGTGGGCGCAGTTTTGCAATCCTGTCCTCACCACTTAAGTCCTCATACCAGTTTGCAAGAGGCAGCAGTGTGATCGCGCCCTGTAAACTAAGTCTCTGACAATTTGCATGGCAGGGCGTCTGCAGTACTGAGTGAGCCCGGCTCCAAGGCGCACGGCGCGCCACCTAGCGCCACCGCGAGGAATCGCACGCCCAGTGCCTGGCGGGCCCTGGCAGGGAGGTGGCCAATGCGTATGGAGGCAACTCAACTTCCCTGTTAAATGAGCTTGGGAATAGGCTAAGAAATGTCCCTAGTGTAGAAAACAGATGGAGCATTTGACACACAGATGACCTGTCTTGAGCTGGTTATATTCCAGCATTTAACGCTATCCATTAGGCATGCGTTAGTCACAGGTTCCCATAGGAAGGTTATTACAGGTCAGTTAGGATTCCTTTCCCGGTCTTAAGGCCCACTGATCCCATGCTGTTGTAGCTTTTTCTCGGCATCCCACCCAGATTCTCCCCTCCTCAGGTAGGAATGACCCCTCCTATGGTGGGGCTGGAAGCCACCTCCCTGAACTGACACTTCTGCTTTCTAAGGGACAGTTGCTGACTGCTCTTTCTGTGTCTTCTAGTTGTCTGTCTTCAGCTGACGTTCCTCCTTGGACAATTTTTTAAACACCTCCCATTATCCATCTTCAAGCTGAAATCAGCCTCATGGCTAGAAGCAAGGAGCAAAGACATTAGAATGGCTTCATCCACCAACAGGAGAGGCTAGGGCACTCCACGGGGTCCACTTTTAGAGAAGGTGTCCACCCCACAGGCACGTGTGTGTCTGTTATCCCCAGAATGGTTCCCTTCAGTGAGTCACGCTCTGGTTAATTGAATGAGGGAAAAATGTGATTTTCCTATAGTGTTTTGCTCACATTTGGATTAACAAATGGGATGTTTCTAAATACATTAATACATACATAAACACATACACTAAGGAGATCGGATCCAAGCCTCTCAAGCTTTTTCCTAAAGAGGTGGTACTTTATAACCTCACGGTCAAAGTGACCTGGGCTCTCAACATCAAATGGACAGGTTGAGCTTGGTGAACCTACCCAGAACGAGGAATATTCTTGATCCAACCTCAGTGTCAACTTGGTGATTAAAGCTTCTTGGTTAGAAGCCTTAGAAACTTTGGGTCAGTTAAACCCGAACAGATCCTTTCTATAGATCCTCATTGAGAAAACTATGAAAAAAGACACTGTGCTCACAGCTGGGGGACACAGTGCTTTCCCTAAATCCTCATGCAGTCCTCTCCACCATTTTCTGCACTTACATCGTCACTTTATGATAAAATGAGACTCAGGCAGCTTAGATGACAGTTTAAACTTAGCCAACTAAGACACAGAACCTCTGAGGCCCAGCTCCCTGCCTGATCGACCCCCAAACCCACAGAAAAGGGTTTCACACTCAGGCAAAACACTGGGCCTGATGGATTGAGTAAATGTAATTTTATTCTTAAGTCATCAATCCTGCTTTATTACAAGCCATTTTGTAACGTAACAGTTCTCAGAAAGAGAAAGGCCTGCCACAGAATTAAAATGTCCTTAAATGGAAAAACATAATGTGTCTCAAATATTCAATTTTATTTTATTGTTATTGCATTGTTGAACACATTCTGCAGTTAGGATCAGAATTCCCAAGCTGATAGATTTTTAAATCATACCACAGGGGTAAACCTTAAAAGAAGTGAAATCTAACATTATATAGATTTCCATTTCTAAATACAGTATATTACAGAAGGTTAAATATACCACCTCTGCGTACTTACAACTATAAAAGATACATTAACTATACCAATTATAAATAATGTAGCATTTCCTATTAAAGGCATTATTGTACAATGAAAGAACAGGTACCCTCTAATGTATTACTATCAAGGTTAGTGTTTATGGTTACTTGAGATAAAATACGGAAAATTCAGTGTATGGAGTCGAATCCTGATTTAACAAGTTATCGGCAGTATAAGTGATAGGTGTTAACTGATGCAGAGAGGAAGGTGAATTTGGTATTGCTTATCTCAGACAAGGATGATAACCCCATTTTATACATGATTTTCTTTATACACACATTGGTTCTAACATAGAGCTTCGGTTTGATATTTCCCTCTCCAAATTAATTCTCAAACAGAAGCACCTTTTTCCCAGTTAGAAAAGGACCAGCAAGCAACAGTAAAAGTATCCGAATAACACAATTTAAGTTTGTTTTTGTTTTGAAAGCTACGTGGGAACACTTTCAGTTTCCCACGTTAAAACATGAAATTGCAAAAAAAAAAAAAACAACAAAAAAACATGAAATTGCACATTATTTGAATATCCAAAAAGGAAGAGAAAAAAAATCACAACCTGTTAGTGAAATACTCGGGCCACTTGGATGAAGATCCAGTTCCTCCATGGAATCCGGGTGTTATTTATTAACTAATCAGAAATTAATATCAAACTAGAACTTTAAAAAAAACAGGGCTGAATCCTATTAGCAGCCTTTCCAGTTGTGTATGTTTTACTAATCTAAAATGGATTATAGAGCTGGGGAAAAGGCAAACTACATAGGCTTATCATAAACCATTTGTGAATATGGTAGAAACGCATAATTTGTCAAAGTGAATTATGGCTCTGATGTGTCAAATGTGGAACTTCATTATCCTAGGATTTGCTACGCTGTTGTAGTGTTAGAACATTGGATCCTTAGCAGCAAAGGTAATACTAAACCTGTTTTTTGCCTAAGAAAAATGCCTTGGTTAAGGTAGACCATGACATAGTTTTTGAGCAAGCTCTTTGGGCTGTTGATCCAGTCATTTTCCAAAGGCAGCATTGGTTTTAAGCTGAATCCCATGTTGATGTCAATATACAGTCCTTGAGGACCCACACCTGGGCACACCCCGGGCCTCTGGTACCTTTCCAGGGTATGCATTCCTCAAAAGCTTCCCACTGTGAAAGACTTTTTTTTTTTTTTTTAACTTAATGCTTATCCTTTCTCGCTGAATGGTCCCACCTCTATCTCAGAAAGCAGAGGGGAATGTTCTGTGAGCAGGTAACCCTGAGGAGACCACAGGTACAGGGCCCTGCTTGCAGAACACACAGGGAGTTTTTTTCCAAATTCTTACTGGAGTCAGATTCAGCAAAGCATTTTTAAGTACGTGCTGAACACTTCAAATACCACTTCCTATTAACAAAGCCCTGAGTATCTTCACTGTCTCCTGGACCTGGTCTAAAGGAAAAAACAGAAATGGCCAACAGCTCCCTCCCCAGGCAGGACTGCGACATTGCACACAACACGTGGGCATCCACAGTTTGGTCAATAAACATGAGCATAAGAGGAAATCAAAAATCATTCAATTCCAGTAGATTTAAAGCCTCCAGAAGAAAGTATCCCGAGAAGGTCAGAAATGTCACTTTTTCTTCGGCAGGTTTGCTCTGCCACATTCAGCAGTCCAATGTTTGAGGAAGAAGTCCCCTTTCCTTCACGGGTTCTTGTCGCCGAGTTTGATGGTGACAGTTTTCACTTCTGTGTATTCGGCCAAAGCATATTCACCTCTGCGATCACAGAAAAGAGGAAGATTCAAAATGGGCACGTCACTTAGCCATGCTGTAGAAACTGTGTTCCAATGCTTGATTATTCTGTTGGGCAGCGTGGGGTTTATGCCACAGGGCAGAATATGACGACTTGATAGATTAATAGCAAGGACTACAACGTCATTAGTCAGTTTCAGTAACTGGGTATGTGACTTCAGTGTAAATACCAAGTTTTTTGTGTGTGATGCTTCTGAAATATTCAGAAGGACTAAGGATTTGCCTTTGAAGAATGAAGGGGTTTTTAAACAAATAAAGAGGTGAGTTCCCTGGGTTGGGAGTAGAGAGCAAAAAGAGAAGCCCTGGGAGGGTGAACGAGGCAGGAGGGCAGGCGCAGAGATCACTCTGGGTTTATAACTTTTAGATGGCCATTTGGAGCCACTTGGAAAGACAGAAGGGGCGGAGGCCCAAGGTTATGAACTGGGGACGAGGCCAGAGGACGAGAAGGAAGAACACCGAGGGCCTGCGGTTGGCCTCGGCGCACACAGCTGGGCACCAGCTGTCAGAGAGCAAGGCCACCCTGGAGGGGCAAGGGGAGCAGACGTTAGCACACATTGGACATAGGGAGGCCACAGCCTTTGCATCAGCATCCTTGGTACATCTCCTTTCTTGAAGTCTTACAGAGCCCAGGTGACCCTTCCCTGGTACCATGGGCCAGCTTCAGCATAGCTCCCCATCCCAGAGCAGAGAGGCCACTTTGGATAGATTTAAATCCCTCTCTAGCATTTGATCTGCTGTGAAGTAAAGAAAAATATGTGCTTGTTTAGGAAAAAGAGATGGAAGTAGAGGTGCCCACTGGAGGCTCTGTAGCTAAAAAGACCTGAGACAGAATCCCATCTCCTCCCTCAGACCACCAGCACCAGCCTCGCCTCCTAACTTGTTAGAAATGTAGATTCTCAGGCCTTATCCGGACCTACTGTGGCAGGCAGAATAAGGGCCTGCCCAAAGGCACCCACGTCCTAATCCCCCGAACCTGTGAATGTGTTAGGTTTCATGGCAAAGAAGAATTAATGTGGCAGATGGAATTCAAGTTATTAATCAGTTGACTTTAAAGGGGTAGAATATCCTGGATCATTTGGGTAGGCCCAGCATAATCATAAGCATCCTTAAATGTGGAAGAGGAAGGCAGAAGAAGAGAGTCGGAGGGAAATGAGACCATGGAAGCAGGTTCAGAGAGATGCAGCGGTGTCAGCTTTGAAGATGGAGGAAGGGGCCACCAGCCAAGGGATGTGGACAGCCTTTAGAAGATGGAAAAGGCAGGGAACATATTCTCTCCTGAGAGTCACTGAAAAGGAATGTGGCCTTGCTGACACCTTAATTTTAACTCAGTGAGACCTGTGGCAGATTTTTATCCTACAAAACTATAAGAGAATACATTTATATTACTTAAGCAACTAATGTTGTAATGGAAAACTAATAAACTTACTGAATCAGAAACTCTAGTGGTAGGACCCAGAAATCTGTATTTTAATAAGCCCCTCAGGTGATTCTGATGCATGTTTAAGTTGGAGAACTACTGGCTTAGAACTATGTAGCTCAGGTAAATTAATGAATTTGAAGCCTTCCCTGAATCTCTCATCATCTGTAAAATGGGAATACCATCACCTCCTGAGTTATAGCAATTAGAGATAATTCACACATAGCACCTCCATGAGCTAGGTGAAAAATGAGTGGTGGAAAGTAATATTGTTATTTTATTAATAATGTGTCATTGAGATTTTTAGGTAGTTTCCTAAACAAATAGTTCAAGAACCCATGATAATGAGTGAATTATTTTGTAATCTTTTCTACATATAACACAAAATATAAAAGCCATAAACAAAATGCTAAATTCAACTTTTGCAAAGCAAAGACTCCATTAACAAAACCCAAAAGACAAATGACAAACTAAAAGAAAAACTATTTACAACCCTGTGTGAGAAATAAGAGTCCTGTTTTCCTCAATATACAAAGAGCTCTTAATAACCAATAAGAAAAATACAAACCACCAAATGGGAAAATCAACAAAGGATATGGATATAGTCAGTTTGTAGGAAAACATAATGCAGATTACCAATTAGTGTAAAAAAGGTGCTCAACTCCTTCATGATTAAAGAAATGCAAACCAAAACTGTGGTGAGCCCATTTTTCATGTAGCAGATTATTCAATTTTAGGAATTAATTCTGAAAACAGTCTCCAACAAATGCACTGAAATGTATCCGCAAGGAAATACAATCGCCATGGTATGTAATAGCAAAATCTCTGGAAAATAACATAAAAGTCCATCACAGGAGACCATGGATAAAAAGAATGGAATGCTATCCAAAATCTATTCTCAAGAGCAAAAAATAGTTTGCTTCCATTTCATTTGAAAACAGAAAAGAATATACATGTTTACATCCATTGTATGCATAAAAAACATACAATACACTTTAAAAGTGAACATATGATGTTGCATTATAAAGATTCAAAGTTGTTCATAATTTATTAACTTAGTAAAGAAAAAAAATAAAGTGATAAAATCATGTTGAATTAGCACATAACTAATAAGTCCAGTATTAAAATAATTCCTATAAGAGTAAGTACATAAATCCCTTCATTCTATTTCTGCAGTTGCTTCCCTGGTTCAAGTTCTTGCTGCTCTGATTCAACCCAATGTGGTGTCTCCTAACTGATTTCTCACCCAGTTTCATCCACCTTGACATTCACAGCCACCCATGAACCCAGCCTTTCTTCCATTAAACCTCAATAGAATGTCAGGGGTGGGCAGGGACTGGTGATCACGTTGTTCACTGCCATATACTCAGTGCCTAGGGTCATGCCTGGTGCATCAAAAATACTCAAAAAATATTTGCCAAGTTAACGAATGAACAAATGAGCAAAATTAATGACTGAACAACATTTACCTCTAACGAGTGGGATTCAGGGTTAGGGGAAGGAGGCCTTGACTTTCCACATATCTCTCTTATGTAGATTTTTTGGTTACTGTATCATTTTTATTAAAAAGCAAAACAAAAAACCAAGACGAAAAGCGCCCAGGAGGAAGAGAAATTGCAGGCTCCACACCAAGACCTGCACAGAAACAGACCCTGGAGGGGCGCGTGCGTGGGTGGCCAGGGATGGGGAAAACCATGGAATCCACCGCATGAGGCTCCAGCCTAAGAAAAAGGGAACTTCTTGCAACATGAAGACATTAATTAGAGACAACTGAAAACGGAAATTGGTTTTCAAGGCAGTTTCCAGGCTCCTTGTGAATTACTTTAAAATACTTTATCAAAAGCCTTGAGAAAACATATGCCAAGGGCCCAAAAAACAGACACTCAAAAAAGTCCCAATTATGGCTAACTGGCAGGATGAAACATGGACCATGTTCAGTGAATACTCACCAAGCCCTGCCCTGGGCCATGCCAGGGGCTGCTAAGGAGCTGAAGGCCCAGTTAGGGTGGTAGGCAGGTCAGGGAGAGGTCAAATCAGAGGGCGAGTCGGCACACACCAGGGATCAGGTGGGCCCCTACACCCGAGGACATTTGCTTTGGGGACTGGAGTTCTTGCTGCCAGGCAAGGGCGTGTCTAGCCTCTGGGTTCCCCAGCCCTAACAGCCCGTCTGGTTGAAGGTAGCAGATCAAAGGAGACAAATGACCATACAAGCCCTGGTTGGCTTCATGCCAGGTCCAGACAAAGGTGACCCCTGATGAGTGAGGCCCTGCACGGGGGTGGGTCCAAGGACTTAGCTACCAGCATTCATGCCTGACTCTGTCACTTACTAGCTCCCTGCGCTGCTTCCTCAACTGAAAACAGTTGTACCCATTGCACAGCTGGTTGTGAGGCTGACATGCATTAACGGGTACAGTGAGCTTGGATGGAGCCTGCCACAGAGTCTGTGCTTGGCAAATGCCAGCTGTCAACAGCAATGTCGCTGTTGGGGGACCCTGGAGGGGACCCTGGTGACCCAGCCCCTGCCTCCTGTGCCCAGAGGGCAGGTGGGTAGAAGAGGTGAATGAAGCAGAAGCTCATAGAACTCAAATACAAATGAGCCGCCAGAGGGAGGAAACGCAGTTCTGCAAAGGGTCCTCATGGCCAAGAATTTACTGGCGGTCCCTGAAGGGGAAATCAGTTACGGGAACAAGGCTGAGACCAATGGACACACTGCACTCAGATGTTCAGACGGCTCTAGGGTATTTACCCTGAGTCAAGGATGGCACCAGAAGGTGGGCCTGGGGTGTGGGGGGGAAGGGACCTCAATTCCATGCAGACTGGCCAAGAGCATGTGTGCAGGGCTGGAAGCCAGCCCTGTTCCTTCTCAACATCTTTAAGAATCTCGAAGGGAAGCCATGCAAAGGCCCCACCAAGGCCCAGCTGAGGGGAGGTATTTGAGTCTGTTCCTGCCGGAAGATGTGCAAACAAGTACAAGGTAAGGCATTTTTATATAAATAACACAAACTGTTTAAATCAAAGGAAGAGCTTTAGAGATGTCCCAGGAACAGCCCTGGGATGTTGTCACAGATGGTTCCTTGGGAACACTGATCTTAAAAGATGTTTGTCCGCAAAGGCTAATAAAACTCTGAGCACCGCTGAGAAGGACACAGAGAAAGAAGACAGTGTCCGGCTGGAAACCACAGCGTCTCCACCCCCAGGGTGCTCCTTCCGGCTCTGGGCCTGGGCCAGACACGAGAAGGCCCATCCATGAATCTAAACCTATGGAGCCCATTTCTGCAGCAGGCCAGGCGGAAAGGAAATGAGGAGGGGTCTGCAGTGGGTTTGCACACACTGACGGGCCACTGACGCCCCACAGGAGGGGCTGCCATACGCCTCCCAGAGGGCACCCGGAAGGAACCGGAATCACCCACGCTGTGCCCCTGGGGCCCCTTGAGGCGGGGCCGGGCAGGTCCGGAGCCTGCCCTGGGTGAGAGCCCAACTTCCCTGCTGAGGGTGGGGATTTGTGTGAGTAGTGACGTCCCACGTCTGGCACAAAGTGTACTTTTTCAGTTCCGCCTGTGTCCCCATCTAGGGAGCTTCTGGCAAGTATCCCCCTGGCGTGATGGGTGCTGGGCAGGACACCAAAGCTGAGGCCTGGAGGAGGCGGGCTGAGGATGAGGGTGGGGGTGGGGAGGGCAGAGAGAGGGGAAGGGAGGGGTCCCGACTGGCCCCAGAGGGACGTGGCTGACACACAGAGCGGAGAGGCTTCAGCAGCCTGGAGCTGCCCGAGTCACTGCCTGTAAATCTAGTGGATCCCGCGGAAGGCTCAGAATGATGGAAACACTTACAGTTCTCTGCCATTTCCCGACATTTTAAAGCCACCAAATGGAGCCTGTGCGTAGATGGCGTTGTAGCAGTTGATCCTAGAAAAAGAACGCAAGGATGCTCACAGTTACCTGCGGAAGGCCCTGCGGACCTCGGCATGCCAACTGCCAGGTACTGGGCGCAGAGCTCTGCCAGTGAGTGGCCTTTGCCAAAGTTTCAGTGATTAAAACACAGGGTGCTCTCACCTTCTGCCTTCTCATTTTTCCCATCAGAAAGTAAAATTTGAATATACTTAAGTATAGAACTTTTCACTGGGATAGGAATGGAATGAGAATGGGAGGGAAAAGAAGAGAAAAATTATGGCATAGGGGAATTGGAATTAGTTTGGAAATGAGACAGACCTGGCCCCAAAGTTCTTCTGCTTCCTGGTTATATGATGCTGGGCTTGTTGTTCAACCTCTCTGAGCCTCAATTCATTCATCTCTACAACGGGGATAACAATACATAACCTGCAGAATTATCGGTGAGGCAGGGACTAGTACCCATGCTTTGCAGAAGGGCATGCACTGCTTTTAGAATCAGAACCAAAAATAAAGTCAGCGGGGCAGTACAGCATGGGTCAAAGGCATGGGCACCAGAGCCCGCTCTGCCATCTACCAGCTGTGTGACCCTGGGCAAATCACTCAACCTTTCTGTGCCTCAATTTCTTCATCTGTAAAATGGAGACACAATGCTACCTACCTCAGAGGGTGGTCACGTGGATCGAGCAAAGCACTTCGACAGTGTTTGGCACATAATATACAACTAGAAGCCCTCTGTTAAGAGAAGAGTAATGAAGCTAGCCAACAAGCAACTCATGAGAGCCGAAACGCACACATATGCAACTCACCAGACTGTGCCAGACTCCAATGCAGAAGCCAATTTCAGGGCTTTGTCCAGGTTTTTTGTGAACACGGCTGCTGTGAGTCCATAGTCAGTGCTATTTGCTCTTTTGATCACTTCTTCGATATTTTTGAACTTCAGTATTGGTTGCACTGGTCCAAAAATCTACAATTAATTGCAAGAATGGCAATGAGGGGCACGTTTGAATGGAAATGTCCACTCTGATCAGGCATTTCCTTCTTTTTATGCCTTTCTCATATACCCAGAATGCACACAGGCATGAAAAATGATGATTGGAGAAGAAGGACCATCCGAAGATATATTAAGCTTCGTGATGGTTGAAATCTGAAGGGAAGAATTAAAATGAAATGAAAATAAAAAATAATAACAAAAATGCACGTTGCATCTTAAAATCTCTCATTGTCTTCAGGATTTCTGAGGACCCCCAGCCCAAGAGCCCTGAAGTCACCCATGCATGTTGGATGCACAGAAGACAAAACTTTTGTATAACTTTTTGGAAAGTTATCTCTAAAGACATTTACAGGCTTGTTGTAGGGTGGTGTGCCCTGACTGCTTGGTGCTGTGTTTTCTACCAAGGAAGATGCTCTAAACTGTTGCCATAATAATTCCCAGGGGAGGGAACGAGACAACCTTCACTACCGTCTGCAACACAGCAAAGAAGAGGAAATGGACGGATTAAAGGCTTGAACATTTAATGGTGATTTTGAAGGGAGTTTGTAATTGATTCAATATTAGGCACTGTTATAACCCAGCAGGATGGTGTCCAGCCTGCTAAAATGCCTTCCCAGTGTCCTCAGGACCTCTCGTCACAGGATTTTTAAAGAGCTGAGCTTTATGCCATCACGGCACAGTTAGTAACCCATAAAAATCTCAAGGAGAAAGTCTATAAAATACCCGCACCAGGAGGTCCTCTGCAGTGATTCATTCTTTCCTGTGCCCCGAAAGACCACATCCCAGGGTCTACCCTCCCCGCCCCCGGCAGAGGGTTCTCCTCTCATAGATTCTGGTGGGGTGGGATGTGGGTAACCAGCTCCCATCTAGCTGGACAGCGGCCTTGAAAGACAAAGTTAGATTTACACTCTTATGGGAGTCTCCCAATTTCCATCAGCTCCAAGGATGTCTGTGGTGGAAACCTTCCATGTGAACTCTAGCTGGGACATGCTCTTTGAATGAACACGTTTCGTGGAAGTTCAGTCTGGGGGAACCGAACGCAGCTTTGGGCCCTGAATCGCTTCCTGGCAAAACCCACAGGTGGCGACAGCTCTCCAGTCCGGGCTGCAGGACCAACTCAAGGGACTGTGCCAGAAGACTGAAGAGGGATTGGCACTCCCCGGAGGCCACGGCGACGGGTGCAAATGGAGCACCTGTTGTACGGTCCTTAGGGTTTGCCTGTGGCAGGGGGGCAAGATGGCTCCCCTAAGGGCCCCAAAGGAGAGGGGAAAGGCCACACAAAAAAAGAAAACGTTCTGGGATCCCTGGGCCCTAGAGAAGAGCTGTGTGAAAGGCCCCAGCCCCATGTACCTCCTCTTTGGCAATTCGCATGTTGTCGGTCACTTCTGAGAAGACAGTGGGTGTGATGAAGAGCCCCCTGTCTTCCATGGCCGAGCCCCCACATTCCAGCTTGGCCCCTTCCTTCTTCCCACTCTCAATGAGCTCGAGGATTTTGTCGAACTGCTTTTGATCAATCTGCAAAACACAAACGGGAAGCACAGCCTGGCTTCCTTGCGGGCAGTGGCTGCGTCTTATGTTTTCAACGGCCTTCAGCATTATCGGCTGCCCTGCCCTGCACGCTCTTGTCGAGTCATAATCCATGTGACAGATGTGCCTTGTAGGCAAATGTTACTCCGATGCCCAAATCTGGGATGTTCAGCGCAGGGGAGAGATGGGGAGATAGGCGAGGTTCATCTCATCCTCTCGAGGTCTGGGGTTATTCACATATCTGGGACTCCTCTCCATGCTCGGAAGCCAGCCCGTGGGTGACACACAGTGTGAAGTAGTCACACTCTTGCTCTCCCAACTCTTTACATCCTACTCAGGTTGCCAGATTTTTGTTTATTTTTACAGAGAGGGGGTCTTGCCATGTTGCTCAGGCTGGCCTCAAACTCCTGGGCTCAAGCGATCCTCCCACCTTGGCAGGTTGCCAGATTTAGCAAATAAAAATACAAAATGCTCAGTGAAATTTGAATTTCACACATGATCTTTTAGTGTTATAAGCATGTTCCAAATAATATTTGGGATATATTAATACTTATGCAAAAAATGCATTCATTGTTCATCTGAAATTCAAATGGAACTGGGTGCCATGTGTTACCTGGCAACCCTGCACCCTGCCTACTTGGCACCAAGGATCAGGGTAACAGGAACTGGGGTTCTCCCTCCATGCTGCAGAGGAGAAGTGAGCAGGAACGCTAGCGCCTCTATTCAGCTGCCCTGGAAACAGAGTGGAGTGAGCCTCACAGTGGGGTGCAGGGGCTGCTCCTTGGTGGGTGGGGAACTAGCTCATCAGAGAGGCTCCACCTTTTGCCATCTTGTCTAGAGGAGTTTCCATGGCTGGAGTTTGCCCTGTGCCACAAGCCTAACACCTGGCTTGCGGACATGGCGCCAGCTGTTGTCAAAAGGGCACCCTTCTGGGAGACTACTCAAGGAGGACAAGCTCTTTCGGCCTGCCTTCCACGGACCCTTCTTCCTAAAATCTGAGGGAGCCCTGTTCTCTATCATGACCTGTTGACAGTCCCCCACCTCTTTAGCTGGGAGAGACAGAGCTTTAATAGGTTTACTGTGGCTGAGACTTCTAGATAGAAAAACTAGTTTCATTCCATAACTTTAAATAGACAAACAACCCGTATGGTGCACCGTGGCTGACTGTCCCTGGGGAACAGGCTGGTTTTCTCAGAAAGGGAAGGCATACACCATGCATGTTTCTTGGCCAACCATCATGAAATATAGATCCAGCATTAAAATACTGACTTGGATCCATACCTCACACCTTATACCAGGATAAACTGCAAATAGATCAAAGATACCACCATGAAAAATAAAACTATGAAAGTTTTAAAATTCTCCCATGTGGGAGACCGCTCCTGCAACTCGGACCACTGATGATGGCCTTTCTAGGACTTGAATTGCAGAAGCCAAAAAAGAAAAGATCAACAGATTTGAGTATGTGAAAAAAAAAAAACATCATAAGGGCAAAATCAGCACAAGCAAAGTCAAAGGGGGAAAAAAACTGGGGAAAAATATTCATAGAAAGTTAATTTCTCTACAATGTATGCAAAGAGGTCTTAGAAGTAATGAGAAAAATGACCAAAAGCACAAAGGAAAAATATGCAAAGCAAATGCACATTTGAGAGAAAAGGAAATACAAATGGCTTTTAAACATAGGATAAGATGTTCTACCCTATTCATTATAAGAGATACACACATATTAAAACTAAAAGAGATACCATTTTAAACTCTCAGATGGGCAAATATCCATATTTTGTTGGTAAGGCTGGAGCCACAAACAAGCTTATAACAATGTTGGCAGGAACATAAGTTGGATCATCCTCTCTGGAAGGTAATTTGGCAATGCTTACAGAGATTACAAATGTGTTCCCACTTAGCAACCTCACTTTGGGGAATCTGTCCCAGGGATTTCCTTGTGCGTGTGTGAAATTTCATACTCTGTGGCCTTGTGTGTGATTGCACATACCCACGTTAATCAGAAGATGTTATTTAAATTCTGGTGGCTTCATACAGCAGAATTCTATGTGCATATGAAAAAGAATGAGGTTCCCATGCACTGGAATAGAAAGTTCTTCAAGTTAATGACCAATAAACAAGGCGTAAAACAGCATAGCTATCACGCTAACTTTTGTGTGAAAATCATGGAAGGCATCAGAATACATATTCATGTTTGCTAGTGTACACATGAAGAAATCCTGGAGGCGTACATGAGAAACTAAGAGCATGGGATACCCATAGCGAGGAGGGTAAGAATCAGGTGTATGAATGGGCCTGAGGAGAGGAGGGAATCCTTTCACTATAGACTTTCTTTGCATGTTTTGTGTTTTCACCCATGTGTATGTACTCCCGCACCAAAAAAGGAATGACATCAACTGTAGTGGATTTAGTAATAGATCAAGGTTCTCTTGACTTTTCTCTGGGTGAATCAAGTCTCAGGTTAACAGTTCCAGGTGCTCGGCTGGGCGCAGTGGCTCACGCCTGTAATCCTAGCACTCTGGGAGGCTGAGGCTGAGTGGGAGGATTGCCTGAGCCCATAAGTTCGAGACCAACCTAAGCAACATAGCAAGACAGATCCCATCTCTACAAAAAACAGAAAAATTAGCTGACATGGTGGCACATGCCTGTAGTCCCAGCTACTTGGGAGGCTGAGGCAGGAGGATCGCTTGGGCCCAGGAGTTAGAGGCTGCAGTGAGCTATGATGACACCACTGCACTCTAGACTGGGTGACAGAGCGAGACCTTGTCTCAGCAAAAAAAAAAGTTCCAGGTGTGGCTGAGTCTCTCTCCTCCTCCTGGGGGCCAAGAGGGCCAAAGGGGCTTCATCAAAATACAGGTCCTGACTGGCTGCTGACCATGTACTGCCTGGAAGACCCCATCTGTCCTGCAGGCAGCGCTGGGTCCCTGGGGAAACCCTACGCATCCAAACTCAACACGCCCCGGTGAGTCTGTATGAACACATTGTTTAAATCTAATAATCCTCCATGAAATGTCAGCTGGTGCCTTACAGTCCAGGAGGGAGGACCTGCCAGGAAGTGAGATGACGCAGCGGGGCATAACACCAGAAACAGGGAAATACGGCCCCCAAAGGACTGGCCCAAGGCCGTGCTCGGCTCTCGGCCGGGAGGACGCTGCCGGATCCTGCCCCGGCCAGGTGGCCTGCATGATGTTTATGTGCCTCGTTGCTCAGTTGCCAAATAAACCTGAGTGATTTTGGAGCATTCCAGCGAGCGGCTCACCCGCCGTGGACAGAGATCTAGGTCAGCTAGCTGTTTTACAGGCATGAGACAGACAGGACTATTTAGACAGCTGTAAGTCCTCTCAGAGTAAAATCTTATTACTCTAGATGAAAAAGCACTTTGGAAGAAAAAAATCCAAAGGCGTCCTAAAATAATATGCTGAGGTTAGATGGCTTTCGTGAGCTTTCTAAAGGACTCTGAGCGGCGGCACGCAGGCACTGATGAAATCAACACCCATTCTGCCTCAGTGTGCTCTCCTGGAAGAGAGTTGTGTATCTGGCTTCAGAAGTCAGGACTGAAGGACGTGGAAAGAGACTTGCAAATAATGATGGGGTGAAAAAGGTTTCCTTGGTCTGGGGATCAGCTCACATATTTCCCACTGCTTCTGGATTAGCTTTAAAATCACGGTGGATTCGATAATGACTTGTGGTCGTGTTTGCGTTCAGATCTGAAATCCAACCAAGCCCATCAGACAACCTTGTGTCACTGGCTGCTGGGTTTGGGGCGGAGGCTGGGCAGGCCATGACTGGGGACGAGGAATGTTGGACTTAAGCAGAAGTACAGCTCCAACCAGGGTCACGTGGCATCAGAGCAAGCGCGGTGGGTGCCGTGGCCAGAAACACACCCCTCTTCCACGAGGTGCTCTCCCCTTCCCCGGCCAGAGCTCCCTCCAAGGACAGGTATGCAAGACTTATCAACATGGCCCGAAGCCTCTCTCACTGCCACCTAGATGGGAGAGCTTGTCATTTAATGCTCTTCCCTTTTAAAAACAAAACCTACTCTTTATTGAGTCCTCCCTAGGTGCCAAGAAAGTCTCATAATATGCATCTATGACTCCCATTTTCCAGATGAGGAAACTGAGGTGTGGAAGGATTTTGTTACTTTCATAAAGCCACAGAGCCAAACTGGAGCTTGGATCTGCGGCCTCCCACGTACATGCGGTGCCAGCGCAGTGGGGAAGCGGCTTACACACAAGTGGGTAAGTCACAGTGCACGTGATTTGAAATTTCATGGCTGGGCCAGGACTTTGGCTAAAAGCAAAGTGGGTTGCTGTCGAGTCCATTTCAATAATGCATGGGATGGTCAGGCTGCCCTCTTTTAAATATTTATCCATCTGCTTCACTTCATAATTAGCAAGAAAGTGATACAGGATGTGCCGTTTTCAAGAGGATATTAAACCCTGTGGTTATGGTCATTTTCATCCTGGCCTGGGCTTCCCAAACCAGGCTTCCAGAGACGCTCTCCTACGGCCTGGAGGTGCATCTCTATCCCCTGAGCCCTCCCCATCTGGGATTCTGTGGTTTCTGATGGTTCACCTTGTCCTGGAACACACGTGGCCCCCTTGCCTGCACTCTGCTGCCTCCAGCCAGGGTTACAGCCCCTCTTCTGCACTAGACTATCGGGCGAGACACCTCTGCCTGAAGCTCTCCCAGGGGCTGGGTGGCGCAGAAGGACGGCTCTCTGAGGGCTGGAGGGTGCAGGCAGATGGCCTTCTGCCCGGGGAATGGCTCCTTCCCGCCACGCCCCTGTGTGTGCAGCCCTGTTTCATAACCCCACGGGGGCCTGACGAGGTCGTATTGCTGATCAGCTTCCAAACAAAAGCCTCAAGTGCCAGGGCAAGTCAGAGAGGGACCCTGCACAGGGCCATGGGACTGCCTGGTTCAGCCCCAGATAAGCACCAAGGGTGCAGACACATCAGTAGGTTACCTGGGGCCCCTGTTCGGTCCTGACATCAAAGGGGTCTCCCACGGGCCTTTTCTTGGCATACTCCACACTCCGCCTGACAAACTCTGCGTAGATCTGCTCCTCCACGAACACCCTGGAGGCGGCCGTGCAGCATTGGCCTTGGTTGAAGAACACTCCCTGATGGGCACACTCCACTGCCAAGTCCACTGGAGGGGGAGCGGGAGGGGAGGCAGGCGGCAGTGAGAGGAAGCGATTAAGTCGTTAAAGCAGGACTGGCGACAGCTGCAAGTCTAATTGCCCGCACTAGAAAACAGGCCCCAGGACGGCTGCATTTCAGAAATTAATTTTGTCCTCAGCATTTCCCAAACAGAGAGGAAGGGAAAAAGGATATTTGGGTTCACCAAGTTTGGGGTTAAATCAGTCCCCTGACTGCAGGACTTCTCAGTACCTTTAATATGCTATGGAATACAAAATTGTAGCACTCCCTATTTCACTTGCCCATCAAACCCTCCCCTCCCCCTTTTCTGGAGGACTAATGATACACAGAATAAACTTTGGTAAGCATTGATGTAGGTCAATTGTCAAGAACTTTTAAAGGAGCCAACATTTCCCACTTTGAGTAAAAAAATGTCTTACTATGTAAGGTAACATCACTTATAACTTAAAAATGGTTTTTAAAAAGGCACTGATTCTGTGTGGGGAGGGCTGAATCTGAATTGCAGAGCTGGCACTGAATGAAAACCAGTTGCTAAAAGGGAGCTAGAGGTACTTAGAAAGTAAAATCTTCGGGGATAGTTTATGGCTAAGAATAGTAATGGGATGTCATTTACACTTGCAGAGGGGCTTTAGCGCTCAGCCCTTGGCTGGCTGTTCAGCAGCCCACACTAGGGCTTGCACAGAGCAACGCGAGGGCCCCCATGGCTGGTCAGGGCTCCAGGCATTGGAAACTGATCCATCCCAATTCCACTGGGCCATCTCTGGGAGACTCTGCCCTTGGCTTTGAGAACGAGGCCACTGCTGTTTGGTTGGGTGGTCTGCGTAAGTTTCAGTGGCAGCAGGACCGCACCATAAGGTTCTTGGCCCTCTCTGTACCCCTGACTCCTGCAGTCAGCCAGCCCAGGTGCCAACTCGAAACTGTCTCCCCTCCAAAATAATGAATTCATTTCCCAGCCCCTGACAGGAGCTGAGGGTGGCAGCCGAAGGGACAGCGAAATGGTGGCTTGTTACCCTTGATGCCTGGGATGCCACTTATGTCAGGATGTAATTTTGTGGACTGGCACTGCCCCAGTGAGGAGCAGGAGATGGCTACATAGCATGTTTTTATGACCCTTGTAAGTAAAATCAAGCCCCAAGCAGAATGAGTCCTGTGCTTTAGCTGCAGTTTTCCTCCCCGGGAAAACTCCCGTGCTTTGATGGCATGAGAACGAAAACCAGGAGTCCTGGCTCTTTGGATTGCAGTTTGGGACTCCAAATGTGGTTCACAGTGCCAGAGATGCTCCAACGTGGCCCCAGGAACTGTTTGCAACACTAGTGGTGCTTCCACAAGGGAGCACCGACCCTGGCAAAAAATGGGCAGTCCATCCTCAGGCCCCACTCCCCTTGCCTTCCTGGGAGCTTGTTTCCTCCCTGTTCTCTCTCCCATCGAAAGCCAGCTGCAGAGGGCAGTCACTTATACCTTAGTGAGAAATTGTGCCAGTGTCATTTTTCTCCGGGATATTTGCAATTCCAACCTTATCTGAGTGTGGAATGCAAGGCTTTGTTCTCCCTGACAGGAATTTCTGGACAGGTGGGGAAGGCTATTCTTTAAGGTGAAGGTGCTGCAAGGCACTTGGGAAATCGCACCTTTTGATAGCCGACCCTGTCGGCGGGCGAATGAATGCCCAGCGTGGCCCTTTCTGCCCCCTTCTGGACGTGGCAGCCAACAATAGCATATATTTTAATATTGTGTCAAGTGTCTCCAGCAAGACACAGGCTGCTCCCCAGCTGCCGGGCAGGTCGTGTTCCCAGGGAAGGGGTGGAGCAGGCAGAGAACCGGACCACGGGGGCATTTGTAAGGATCGGCTGCCACTGGCCCCTGATTTGACAGGCCTGAGACAGAGAAGGAAGGAACATCTCAACTCTCCAGAAAGCCTGAAGAGGTAGGAGGCAGTAGTGGCGGGGGGCAGAAGTATGAATGCCTGGGAGTGGGCAGCCCCACCCTCCCCGGGGACCCTGGATGAGAAGCTCTGCAGGGACCAGAAGGTAAACTTCATCTTGAGAGGCAGGAACAGGCAGCCCCTCTGGCTGCCACCTAAGCCATGTCCTTCCCAAGGCAGCTTTCTGGCAGCTGTAAAGTTGCCTGCCTGTGGCAGGGTGACCGCAGGCAGGATGACCCAGGGTGGGAGCACTCCCACGTGTGGGTGTCTCTCTCTCAATTGGTTCTGAATTCCGGCCGGGACGTGGGGAGAGATTGGCAGGTGCCTGGAAGGCCCCGCACAGCCCGGAAGGGGAATGGACTCACGGTCGGCATCCGCACACACGATGCACGGGTTCTTCCCCCCCAGCTCTAGCGTCACCCTCTTCAGGTTGCTCCGGGAGGCGGCTTCTTTAACCAGCTTTCCCACCTTCAGGATGAAACACAGAGCAGAGTAAACCTTGGATGTGGCTGGACCTGGCCCAGATGCACACATCGGGGAACTCCGGACCAGCCCGGGAGGCAGCGCTGCCACCGCCTCCCTGCCCAGGCGCACTTCCCTCTGCTGGCCTCGCTGGCCTCTCCTCTCAACCAGACCTCGGCGTCCTGGGAACCTTGTCTGACTGCTGCACTCACAGGCGTGGATGGGAGTTTCTGGAAGGCCCCACAGCTGGCTAGGAGCAGAGCCGCCTCCTCACCTGACCTGGCTCCTGCCCCTCCGAGCCCAGCTAGTCTGGCAAAGGGACCAAAGGGTGACCCTTCCATCCCTTGGCAGTGACATCTGAAACTCCGAAAGCCCAACAGGGCAGGTGGTTCTACTTGTCTCTTTGGTGTAATCTGAGGGAGCCTCCAAGAACGAGAGAAATAGTGAGTGCAGCTGACCTTTAGGATGAGAAGGAGCCAATTTTCTGGAAACAGACTCTAAGACTGAGGCTGCCACAGGTGGGCAGGGAGAGAATTGGTGAGCTATGAAGTAACAGCAGAACTGCTCAGACAGGAATTCTCAACCCCCCCAGTGTGCCCGACTGAGGGGGTCTCTCCCACTGTCCACCGCACACCAGAGGGAGGTGGCCCAGCATAATTTGGTGGCGTATCCTGGGCAACAAGTAAAGCCAGGTACCATGGACTTAGAGCGGGGAAGACCCTCGGAGACTGCCGCAGACACCACGGCCCAGAGCCAGACAGCCAGCAAGGGGCAGGGCTGGGCTCTTCAGGGTCCAAGGTGTGAGTGCATTTTAGACATCAGCAAGCTCATGGGTGGTGGCCTGAACATGGGCTGGAACTGATCCACTGTGACAATGTCCCCAAAGAGAGTAACAGCATGCATCAGGGCTGCAGGAGGGGGCCCAGGCTCCTGGCTGAACTACACTAGGAGGGAGATGGGGACGCTAATTGTGCTGATTGCATGGGAAGTGTTTATTCATTTCTCTTTAAGTACAGAAGAAGTACTTCCTCGCTAAAAATAATTCCACATACAGATGCGTGTAAATTAAAGCTCCCCTCACTCCACACCCCAGGACCCACCCCAGAGGTAGCCATGGTGATAGTTTCTTAGGATCCCTCCAGACAGTTTCTATTTCTACACACACACACAGAAACACACACACACTCTTTTACTAATGAGATCAGATTGTGGATAATTTCCTACAGTTCGCTTTTTTGTGCTTCAACAACAGACCATGGTCAGCGTTCCCTGTTGTGATGGCTATGAAACGTTTCATAGAACGGATATAACATACTTGAAAATACGTCCCTGAAGGCTCATGAGAATATTTATCTAAGCAGTTCCTTCAAAATGGAACTTCTGAATCAAAAGTCTCTCACTTTAAAATTTTCGATGGGTGCCATGAATGCCAATTGCCTCCCACCGTAGGGATGGTGTTGGTGAGTGCCTGCTTCCTGTGTTCTCAGTGAGGCCATTTCAGCGTTCACCAATCTGACAGACTAAAGGACAGTCTGATTTTCATGTGAATTCGCATTTCCCTAATGACCAGTCAACTAGGTTCAGCTTCCTGAGCATTCAGTATTTCTCTTCTCTGTGGGTCCCCTTTCCCCACCCTTCTGTCTTTTTTTTTTCATTGATTTGTAGGCGTGCTTTATATATGAAGGATGTAAATTCTTGGAGCGCTACATACATGACAACTGTTTTTCTCCCAGCTTCTTATTTATCTCTTAACCTTAATCATGATGATGTTTGCCATATGGATATTTTACATTTTTATTTTATCTTATCTCTCATTCTTTTCTTCTGAGCCTTCTGAGTTCTATTTATTTAGTTTGGAAACAGGGCCAGTGACTTTTTTTTTTTTTACTGGTTGTTATGTATAATACTAAAACATGGTCAAATTTAGAAGAAAAACGAATCGTATTTGACCCTGTTAAAGGAAAAGTTCACGCATCTCCAGTTCCCAATAACACGTCCGTGATGACTTTTGCCAGCAGCCCGTGGGGAGAGTTACCTCCGTGGAGCCGGTGAAGGCGATCTTGTTGATCTGAGGGTGAGAAGAAATTGCTGCTCCCACCGTGGGCCCAAATCCTGGCACGATGTTCACTACACCTGGAGGGAACCCAACCTGGGAAGAAATCGAAATGGCATTCAGAGGAGCAGAAGGGATCGCTGTCCGCCACAGACCCGCGTTTGGGCAGAGAGAGCCGTGGCTGCGCGATGTCCCTGAGCAAAGCAGCACCACCACAGGGAAGCCTGGGCCCGGCTCACGCGTCCACCCCAGGACCCCACCAGTCAGCCTAAGGCCCCCTGGGAGCCGACCTGGGCTTCTCATCTGCCACCAGCAAACCAGGGTGCGGGCTGGGCCAGGGTGAGATTCCCACTCCTCCTCCCAGGCAGGGCTCCCCACCCCACTGAACAAATGTACAGTGATACTGCAAGGTGGCTGTGGCCCTCCTGTGGTACAGCACCATTCTCTGTGTGTGTGTATGTGTGTGTACATATGTGTTCATGTGTGTTTGAGAGTATGTATGTGTGTGCATATATGTGTGAGAGTGTGTGCATATATGTGTGAGAGTGTGTGCATATATGTGTGAGAGTGTGTGAGTGTGTGCATATATGTGTGAGAGTGTGTGTGTGCATATATGTGTGAGAGTGTGTGCATATATGCGTGAGAGTGTGTGAGTGTGTGCATATATGTGTGAGAGTGTGTGTGTGCATATATGTGTGAGAGTGTGTGTATATATGTGTGAGAGTGTGTGAGTGTGTGCATATATGTGAGAGTGTGTGAGTGTATATATGTGTGAGAGTGTGTGCATATATGTGTGAGAGTGAGTGTGTGCATAGTGTGTGCATATATGTGTGAGAGTGTGTGCATATATGTGTGAGAGTGTGTGTATATATGTGTGAGAGTGTGAGTGTGTGCATATATGTGAGAGTGTGTGAGTGTATATATGTGTGAGAGTGTGTGTGTGCATATATGTGTGAGAGTGAGTGTGTGCATATATGTGTGTGTGCATATATGTGTGAGAGTGTGTGAGTGTGTGTGTTGAGGGGAAGAGAAGTACCTCAGTCACAACCCCTTAGGTTCAAAGGCACATGCAAAATATCCTTCCCGAGCTTCAGGTTTCATTTTTAAATCAGCCCCATTCATGTTCCAAGCGATGACAAAATATCACTCCCTTGGAATTCTCTGCTTGTTCAACTTGGGTCACACCTGGAGCCGGCTCTTCCTGAAGGCGGGGCTGCCATTTCTTTCCCATGTGCGCCCCGTGTCTTGCACATACTAAGCCTCTTCATTAGCCACGAACACCACAGAATGAACGAGGTGGAGGATGCTATTCCCCACGTGTCCTGTGTGTTGCTTACAACATATTATTTTAGAAAGTCAAGATTTTGGGACCTGGAGCTTGAGTCTTCAGTGTTACAGGCACTATTTTGTGATCTCGGAATCTGTAAGTCTCATCAAGGTGACTTAATCGCATCCCATATCCCCAGTGGAAGGAAAGCGGAACATGGTGCGTTATCAGCAATTCCACCCTTGCGTCTAAGCAGTACGGGCCTGCATTCCGGTGGTATCTGCCTGGCTAAGAAGTGAAATGAAAGAATCTTTTCTTCTGTCCCTCTTTTCTTCCTGTTTCTGTGTCTAAATCTTTGCTACATACAAGCTGGTGACGGGATGACTAAAATGTGTTGCCAGGTATGTCTGGAAGGAGGTGTCCCTTTGGGCCACTGTTTCCCTAAGTTGCGGCTGCCCAGGGGAGGAAGACGATTGCCTGCAGAGCAGAGGGCGCTGATGAGGAGGCGCCTGGGGGACCTGGCGTGGCGGCAGCTACTCAGCTGCAGCTGGCATGGTCACCCCTCCAGAGAAAAACAGACCATTTCACACACCACCAATGCAAAGCCCAAAGAGCCTCCGGAATATTTGGCTCCCTTTTGGGTGACCCTCCTGCAAATTCTCCAGACAAAACACTGGGTCCTAAACCATAGGTTTGAGCCCATAATAAGAGTTAAGTGTTCTCATTAGGACCACTGGGAGGAATGGAGTTTCTTCCAGCTCAGTGACCACAAGCAGGAGAAAGAAAGTGCAGTCGCCAAGCCAAACACAGGGAGTCATTCCCTTCCCACTCCACTGAGCAGGCTGCCGCTGTCCCATCTCGTGACGGTGGCCTGGCTCCTAGGAGTGGCAATGTTATCAAGAACACGTAGTATTTTCTTTTTGGACGTCTTACCTCTTTGATCAGAGAGCCGAGATGCAGGGCGGTCAGAGGCGTCTGCTCCGCCGGCTTCAGGACCACCGTGTTCCCACAGCAGAGGGCGGGCGCCAGCTTCCACACCAGCATCAGCAGGGGGAAGTTCCACTGCGACAGAACACAGGGCCTTGGGGACCCGGATCCACCCCCTACCCTGTCCCACATGCTCAATGATATCTCTGTGGAGGACACTTGCATTTCATGGTCTAGATTTGGGTATAAGGGGTCACATCGGAGCGTTCAGTGACCAGAGCCGCATCCCTGCGCAGCGCTTCCTAAACGGCATTCTCGGAGGTGCCGGTAGGTCGCCTTTGCGAGGAGGGTTTTGCTGTATGTGTACGACCTCCCCTCAAAAATGTCTGCGGGAGGGACGACATCCTCCTTCCCTCCATGGAGCACTCTTCCAATCCTCACTGCACGCCGCCGCCCGTCTCTCCAGCTCTCCGCCCAGCTGTCGCTGCAGTGGCCAGGGGGCTTCCCAAACACAGGAGCTGCATCATTGCCCTCCCTGGGCACCTACAAACATCCCCACTGCCCAACGAATAAAGTCCCAGCCCCTCGGCAGCCCAGGCTGCTGGAACCTGGCCTATGCCACCCGACGCGTGGACCCATCCTCTCCCTCACTTCCCCCTGCCCGAATGTTCCTGCTGTGCTTTTCCAAGTGGCCCAGCCACTTCCACACCTTTGCCCAGGCCAGTACTGCTGCCTGGAAAACCCATTTTCTTCCTGAATAAGTCTTTCTTATTGGGAAGGCCCAGTTAAGAGACCACCTCCCTGGGGGTGCTGCCACTCCTGACCACTCTGGCTGGAATCCCGGGCACCTTCATTGCACGCCTAGAGAGCAGGAATGGGGTCTCGTCCGTGTCCAGGGCCCTCGGCACGGAGCGCCATGCCACAGAGCAAATGCTCAGTCAATGCTGGTGCAATCGGATAAAAACACAGCAGAAACTGCTGCTAAAGGACACAGGGCAGTGGGGCAGATTCTTCATAGAATCTACCGAGAAAAGCTGCCGTACTTACTGGAGTGATGGCCCCGCACACACCGATGGGCTCGTGCCTGGTGAAGCACACGACATTGTCATCTGGAAGAGGGTTACATGGTGGGGAAGGAGACACTCAATCAACATTAAGAATTTCAAGTAGTAAAAAGACAAGAAAGACACCCAGAAGCCCACAAAAGTGCTGGCTCCACGTCTTGTCTGTTACACAATGAAGTGATTTGAACTCAATTCCAAAAGTGAGGTTGCTTAGAAGAAGAGTCGGCACGGTGCCATTCGGACCTGGATTAACGAGAAGACAGAGCCCCAGAGAGACCCCAGAGGAGGCTACGGTCCATCCTGCTCACCTGTGGGGATGGTCTTGCCCTGGATTTTGTCTGCCCAGCCGGCAAAGTATCTGAGGGTTTTAATACAGCCCTCCAGGTCGATGAAAAAGGCGTGAAGGAACGGCTTCCCCGTGTCCATGGTCTCCAGGGTCTGCGATAACAAGATGACATCTGTTTCAGACAGAGCCTGCTTTTCTTTTTCTTTTGAATGGTCGGGTTGTTAAAAACAGGGAGTGGAGAGGTGGAGAGGGAACAGGCGGTTGGGGAGAGAAGGCAGTCCTAGGACAGGGCTCTCTAGACCTTACAATTGTATGAGTCCTTTCAGAAAGCATGACCCTAAATTTAAAATGGGCCCCGTCCCACATTGCAAGGACAGCCTTTATTTCAAAACACACAAAGCCGGGTCGGGTGGGAGGTTGGGGGTGTGGTGTCGTCGGCCAGAGCATGGGCATGCGTCCCCCTTGGGGACCCCCGGTTGCAATGCTGATTTGAAGGCTCGCTGGGAAGGAAGACACATTCACGGCTGGTCTTCCACCCAGAGCACAGTCGCCTCCGCTGTGCGACCCGGACGCGCATGCTTGTGCCTTCCCAGGAAGCTGTCTGAAGGTTAGCTGGCTTCAGGGTGGCTGCAAGGGGGCTGGCTTCCTCTAACAAAAGAGAAAGGGAAGACGTGGGCTTTTCCATCTCGGCCTGGCTGGCCAGTGTGGCTGTGGAAAGTGACCGAGCCCAAAAGGGCTGCTCCACGAGCGCAAAGATGCAATCCCTCCCCACTGCGCGGGAAGCCGGATGCGGAGTCGGAAGGGAGCAGGCTCGCCCTGCTGGTGAGGGAGGTGCTCACCCAGGGCCAGTGTGCAGCGACTCAATGGCAGGGATTCTTTTCTATTTCTAGCCTGGGTGGAAGAGAACCCCTTTGTCCCTCAGACAAGCGGCCCCAGTTGAGCCCAGTGCTGAAACCGCCAGTCATCCGTCTCTGCAGGAAGTGGCCATCCTGACACATAGCCCAGGGCTGGATTCTTGCTGAAGAGTCAATGGAGTGAGATGATGACTGAACAAGGAAGAAGGGCCCCTCCTCGTGCCCAGGACTTTAACCCCAGTGCACTCCCACGTCTCACCCCTGGGCGTGACGTCTCTAGTCCCATTTCAAGGTGCAGATGCTGAGGCCATCAGAGCCCAGTGGTTCTGCCAAGGCCACCCAATGGGTCAGCAGCATGGCCGGCACCGAATCTGGGGATCTGACTTCCAGCCAGCACAGCGACCGCCCTTTAGGCCACTGCCCCTGGACATTTGCATCTGGAAAGACTTTGCTGCAGGGAGAAGCCACGTCCCTTCAAATAGGAGGCAACCATTTCTGATTAGCTCTAGCTGAGTGGCCTTGGGTAAGTCCCTGAATCTCTCCCTGCCTCAGTTTCCTTATCTGTAAAATGAGAATAATAATGGCAATGACCTCATGGTGCTAGTGTGAGAGTGAAAGGAGTCATAGTGCACTGACCAGAGCATCTGCCAGCAGCAAGTGCTGTGTAACTGTTCAGGTGATAACTGTGACAGTTACAGTGACTATTATCATCTTCCCTTTAGGCACCAGACAGTGTCTGGCAGTCCTCACCTGGGGACCCCAGGAGACAGGACTGGTCTGGGTCCAGGGTATGTGCCCTACTCCCAGCAGCTGCTACTCGGGGACTGAGTCAGGCCAATGTGGCATCGAGTGCTCTTTACTGTTGGTTTCTGTTGATTTGCATTCTGAGTTGGAACTTTTACTTTTCCAGGAGAAACCTAGACATTGCAAATCATGCCAAAAGATCTCCAGAACTGGGCTACCTCAAATAGTATCTACACATCTGTCAGTGAAACCAGGAGTTTATTCTCAGCCCTTTCCTGGAATGGAATAAGAGAGAGGACTTCTGTCCCCAGTCCTGGCTTACCACCTCTGGTAACCTCGGAGAGCTTACTTAACCTCTCTGGGCCTCAGTTTCCTCATCTCTGCAATGGAATAATAAATACTATAGGTCAAATGTCCATAACAAGCTGGGTGCATGGTGAGCATGTTTAAGCATTGGCTATTACTTAATTTATTGTTGACTTGGACAAGTTTTCTCACTGGAGTGACAACACGAAGTTGCCAGGTTGGTTTTATGGAATCTCTCCAAGCAAAACCCAGATCATGATAGGTTTAGGCAAGAAATTGTTTAAAAAAAAAAAAGAAAAGATTCACAGATGAATAGATGAATTAGTCCACAGGACTAAGTCTGAGTAATCGAGTGTTAGCTACTGATTGAAACAGTCGCCTTTTAAACAGCTTGTTATCGTGGCTCCGTCATGGGTAAACCACAGCCACTCCTCAGTTTACTTCCTTAAACATTTTGAGAGAAAACTGTGCCTTCTGAACACATTGTAACCCTCAGATACTAAAGAATGATGAAACATGCTGGGGGGACGGCCCCTGTGCTCCCCGCACACCATGGGTTCAAATGACGGGGGCCAGAAATGGCACCTAGGCTGACAAGGAGAGTGAACGGGGAGGGCCTCCCTCGCGGAGCTTCCCAAATCAGCACCCCAAAAGCCAGAGTCCGGGCACAGGGTGACTCAGCAAAGGAGAGAAAGTCAGGAGCCACTGGACCCACCACATCTGTTTCCAAACATTCAACACAGAAAAGTAAATACCGGCTCTGTCAAATCACTGAGCCAGCAGGAGAACACGCTGCCTGAAAATGCAAGGAAACCATATCAAGGTAGCGAGTGAGGGGTGCTTCCCTATGATGTGGTTGCAGTTTGAAAAACCATATTTGCCAGTAATTCTCTTGTCTCTTTCATGTTGTGGCAAAGAGCTGGATCTTATTTCTTGTGGGCAGCGAGGCCCCGATGCCAGGAGCGATTTGCCGGGTTGTGTTCTGAGTTCCTCCAACGTGCTCTGTCTGCTATCAAAACACAGTTGTGCCGTGACAATGGGGCGAGCTGAATGAAGGTGGCTTTGCAGCTGCTGCTCCTAAGATGACACTGAAGCTTGAGGACCGGGTGTGGGGGGTGCCCAGGGCACATCCTCTCTAGCCGGCTATTAGTCCACACGGACATTGCCGACCGATGAGCTCATGCTGGGTGAAAACAGAAATGTTTTTGAAAAAGCCAGTTTGGCAGCTTGAGGGTTGAGGCTGGCTTTCTTGCAGGAAGAAACCAGAGGCTCCTCAGAGAGAAAGCTCACCCGGGGAGGGAGCTACCCTAACCTGGCGAACATGCCGGACCGGGAAGGAAGGAAGGCGAGCTCGAGTTTCTGTGCAGATGATCCCTCAAGGAAACGCACCCACGGGCAGTGCCTGAGAGTTGCTCCGCCCCTAAGAAACACATTCAGGGACCAAAGCAATTTCAGGGTCCTGGCTAACACTCTCCTTTAAAGAGTGGCCACTCTACTGCTTGTTCCCAACATCAGGAAAAACCATTTTTCCAAATCAAAGGCCAAAAAAGAGATTTCCTTCCCTACAAACTGTGCCTCAGGGTCTGGAACAAGTTTTAAAAACAAGAGTCTGAGCCGTACAAGGGCAGGATGCACAGATGCCAAGGATCTCAAGGCCCAAGGTGGCCCCATGATGTCCTCTGATTACCCACCTCAAGACCAAAGGAAGGCCTGAGGATGCTGTTAAACAATGCATTAGCAACTTATTAATGCCGTCATGGCCCAACCTCATGGTGCACTAACATACCCATCTTACAGCTGAGGAACTAAGGTATCTAGAAATTACTGGCCAGCAGGGCATGTAGCTGGGATTAGAGTCTGGGTCTTCACATAGCATTATTATGATAACTGCTATTATTAATAATAGCTATCGTCTATTTAGTGCTTACTACATGTCAGGGATTCTGCTAAGAATTTTAAATCAATTGTTCTCACAATACTTAGATATCATTATTAACGACACTTTATGAAGAAATAAATCTCAAGGAGGTTAAGCAGCTTGTCTAAAGCCACACAGCCAGTAAGTTGGAGAGGTGGGATTTGAACCCAGGTCTTTCATACTCTGAGGTTTCCTATAACCAGGGTATCCTGCCCCTACTACCATTACACACATACTCGCCACTGCCGATTTCAGAAGTGATGACATAGGAATGATTTTAGGTCATACGGGGACACGTTTTCTATGTTAAGTGGTGGTATTTATTTTATAAGTACTTAAAAAAATAAAACCAACATATTAAATCCATGATTTCATGAATATTGGTACTTAGGATGAGGTTACACTTAAGTTTAAAAGGAGTTAATATAAAAAAGGGAAAAAAGAGTTAAGTATGTAAGTGTACAGGTGGGACCAGGATATGGCCCAGCCTGCGGTGACCATCTGTGAATGTCCCAAGTCTGAGAACCACTGTGTAGCTGAACTTCCTATAGGCAACTTCTTGGTCAAGAAGCTGAGCTGCAGGTGACAAACGTCTGACTTCAGAAGGAAAGGGATGCAGTCCAGGGACACAGACACCTGCCTACCACCTGAGAGCTATATCTCAAAGGACAGAACAGATTCACACCCACACAAAACCTGGGCCCTCAATCTTTTCTCCCACGCCCCGCAGGAAACAGGACTCTCAGTGAGGCTGGTCCGTCCCACACTGGCCCCCGTGTGTGTGTACTCACGGCCAGGATGGTGCGGTCCCTCTCAACGAGGTCGGCCAGTTGGTGCAGCAGGCGGCCACGGCTCAGGGCATCCAGCTGGCGCCATGCTGAGCCCCTCTGGAAGGCGGCCTGTGCAGCCTCCACGGCCTGGTCCACGTCGGGCTGAGTGGCCGAAACAACAGAGAGAGGGTGTCATCTTTTGAAGCAACTGCAGTTTGGGACCACCTGGCTGTCAGTTATAGAGAACAGCAGAGTGGTGCCTCTGTCTTGGGGTACAGCCGAGGAAGCAGGGGTGGCGGACAGGCTGCAAGCAGCAGTGAGGTTTTAAATCACATGAATGGCTGGGGGCTTTCAAGTGATTTTTTCTTTCTTTGTGTCTTAAGTCTTTTCTGAGTTTTCTGTAGTGGCCAAGTATCAATGTTCTTTCTGATTATAAAAAGCATTTAAAACTATGTTTTCAGTCACTGACCTTGAGTATTTTTCTTGGTGACCTAAGTATGAAAAGATTTTCTACTCACTAGCTCGGTTTGAACCCATGCAAGCCTGTCTGTCGTTCACAAATTAGGTGGGAAGTGTCTGTCTTGGCATTTTATTCCCTCTGGGAACTGTGGCCCAAGAATGAGAATAGGGGAATTCGTGTGGATTGCAGAACTGACCACATTGGAACAGTCCGCAGACAGGGAGGTGCAGCAGCTACCACGGAGGCCTGTTTTCTCCCTCCAGCCTCACCTACCCTGTGGGGGCAGAACTGGGTCTTTTGTGCACTCATAGAATAATTGCAACAGAACCTTCTTCTTCAAAAGAAAGAAGTAAGAACTGTATAGAGTAGCGGTGTTCTTTCTTATTCTGAGGGCGATGGGGCTTCAAGGCTCTGGTTGCTGATGGGCCATGGCTCATCTCGAAGGCCCCTCCACACCTCTCTCTCTGGGGAGGTGCAGCAAGCAGCAGACACCAGGCACCAGTCAGGAAGGGAAGCCACTGAGACTCTGTGTCTCCAGAGTTTGCTTGAGGATGAGCAGAAGCTTTGGCAAGGGAGATGTTGGGACACTGAATTCCCTGTCCCAGGCTCTGGGGTGGAGGCCAGGACCTCTCCAGCTGTAGGGGCGGGTGGCCTCTTGTCTCCAGTTACTCAGAGCAGTCACCCAGACCAAGGTAAAAAATGGAGCCTGGGGCAAGGGTCTCAAATGACCCTCCCAAACACCTGTATGGGGCACTTGGGAATCTTGAAGTGCGAATCCCATTACACATCACGCCCTTCCTCCCAGGCCCTCACATTTTCGTATGAGCTCCTCTGTGCTTTCTCTGGAAGCAGAGCTTAGCATGGGGTGCCACACAGAGGAGGGTCTGTACAGGTGGGACCACTGTGCATTACACACCTATGTAAAACTCACCGGTGGGATAAAACCCAAGCTTGCTCTGTAAACGTGCCCCTCCCCACCCATGGCCAACATCACCAATATGCTGGTTAAGAGTCAGTCTAGCACCCCAACAGTTGAGGGGAGGTTTATTTCTCCCTCCCCTCCGTGGAAGAACTTTACCTCTAACCTTCCGCCAGTGGCACTGACATTCAAAACAGACTGCACGTTCTTGAAACGTATAAAGGACACATCCAGAAGTCCCTTAGCTTCTATATCATAACACAGAATCTGCACTAGCAAATAGGGTTATAGAGATAACAGCTTTCTGTGCTCATGTTAAGTTTCTGCTAGAAAAGAAGTCTGGTGGTTATGGGATGTTATTCCTACCCCCACATCACTTGGGTAGCATGTCTTCTTTCCTTCAAGTCTATTTTTTTTTTTAAAGTGTCTCCTGCCAGAAGGCTGCAGTTGGTGAAACACACCAGCCGGAAATGCTTTCTGGAAAGATTCTTTAAAGTGTCCAGGTTCAAATAATTGATAAAAACCTTCCCTTTAGCCATGTGAGGAGGATAGCTGAGGTCATCGTCATAGATGGGAAAACATCTATCAAAGGAGAGTGACTTTTTGCAGAGGATCGTCGGTAATCAATCCCAGCCTGGCCATGTGTCTGAGCAGCACACACCAACTCGCGCAGCAAGCCAGCCTCTACCCCGAGGGTGGGCCAGTTCTGTCTCATAGCTACGCCAAACTGCTTCCTTATCCTATGGTTATGTGTAATTGAATTACTTAGAGGCAAAAAAAAAAAAAAAGAGAGAGAAAAAAATAAAAAACAAAAGCACCCACCTTATCTCCTTCTTCCACATCACATATTTTCTCTAGAGTCGAAGGGTTATATGTGGCAAACTTTTTTCCACTCTTGGATTCATGCCATTCATTGTTGATAAATATCTAACCAGGAAAGGAAGTGTAACGAATTAGGTTTAAATCAAAATCATATCATTTCAACATGCTGAGGACCTTAGGTAACGTCTTGTCCGCCTTCCCCGCTGCTCCCTGCGCCCCCTGGACATTTTACAGATGAGACCTGGGGGCTGGGGGAGGGGACAGAGCACCAGGGTCACGTGAGCAACAGATCGCTGGGGACAGACTCAGAATTAAAATGCAAGTTTTTGTCACAATGAAACTAAAGTCATTTAGAGTTTTGTCTAAATTGTTATTGTTACTATTAGCAATAACATGAATTCACAAGAGAATAGCTGAGTTAAATAGTTAAATAGAGAGTCGGAATTGGACCCTAGGCCCTCACAGACTTTGGGGGAAGTTTAAATAGGTTTATATATAGGAAGTCGCAAGCAATCCACCTGCCCCTGAAAGGTAAGTAAGCACTGAGCACTCCCTTCCTCCCTCCCACTGCGACACCCAGTGAGATTGCCAAGGACCTTGCCTCATAGGAGGATCTTGCCATTTCCTGCCAGTAGTTTCTAATACCCATGAGCACACCCCTTCTCTGCACTCCCTTTAAAATGTATGTTTTCATGTTGGGTTTGAGAAAAGCCAGCGTTGGAATACAAAGCTAAATATCTGGGTTAGAAAATGTCCAGGTTATATTAACAGACACAGCAAATAATGGTTTATATGCAGAAACCCAAGAAATAACCCACAAAAATCACTTTACTGGGAACCTCAATTATCCAGAACACAGCTAAGCCTGTTAAAAAAAAAGATGTCATAAGCAAACTAAAAGGAATGTACAAAGTCCATGCACTGAAATGTATGTATTATTTATTGTTAGTTTACACTAAGTTCTAACTGCCTTAAAAACATCAAATTAAAAGAGAGGGCTTTTGGAAAGGAACTAGGAGCAGAGGTGGCAGGCAACATACAAAACACCTTCTGACAGCACAAAAGTCCAGCTGCCCAGTGAGAGGTCAGACAACCGCTGGCTGTCCCAGCTCGAGACGGTCTTATCATCAAGACTGCAGCCATGGAAATGGCTAACACACATTTCCATGAAATAAAATGCCGTCAATAATTTCAAAGTACGGAATTAGTTCATCAGTTTCCATTTCTGTATCTATATGCATATAATATAAATAGCTTTACTTTGCTTTTCTTTGAATTGTTTAAAGGAAGAGCTACATCCCGCAAGGGCTAATTTCAATTATTGTGAAACTGATTCATTTGGAACATTTGACTCCCCAATGACGACAGATGAGAGAGGGGAGTTGTCTCCTAAGAGTGCAGCTTGGTTACATTCTCTGTATTGGGCTCTTCTCATATAAACCCTGCAGTTCATCAGCAAGGAAGCCCAGTCGGCATCTGGGGAGGACCAAGCACAGAAGGCAGGCTCTGGCTGGGCAGGTGGGCAGAGACCACCTGCCTCCAGTTTGGAATCCAGAGCTGACAGCATCCATCTCCAGTGGGACAAACCCATCTAGCTTCTGGAAGCTCAGCGCCTTCATCGTGAGGCCAGGCCCCCAGGGAAGCGCACAAGGAAAAGGCCAGGCTACAATTACAGGTTTATTCTTCCAGCTGAAACCAAATCCAAGAGTTCACTTTTGCCATCCAGCAAGTCATCACTCGGTAACAGCGAGAAATTAATAAGTGGGGAAGAGGAGTTAAGTTAGTGCGGGGAGGAAAGTGCAGCCAGGAAGAGAGGCCCATTTGTAGAAAGATGAAATTTCGTGGGTTAGATAATAGAGACTGTCAGTGAAAACTGCTGATTCTGGGTCCTTCCTGGTATCAATTCCAAGGGGGAGGGAAAATGAGAAGGTGGCAGAAGAGAATATAAATAAGGGGGCTGGAAACGGATTGCAATGATCGGATGTCTGCTATACTTCATCTCCAAGCATGCTCTTCCAAAGAAAAAATTACTTGGTTGTTCATGACATTGATCCACAGTCCTTTCTAACCAGCAACCTCTAAAAAAATTCACTGCTTGACTCTAACCATATTTTCCCATCACAGTGTTTCCAATTTAGCAAAATCTTTTTCTTTATACCACACTAGTAAATAATCTTTTTTTTTTTTTTTTTTTGAGACAAGGTCTTGCTCTGTTGCCTGGGTAGAGTACAGTGACATTATCATAGTTCACTGCAACCTCAAACTCCTGGGCTCAAGCAATCCTCCTGCCTCAGCCTCCCAAGTAGCTTGGGCTACAGGCCCATGCCACCATACCGGGATAATTTTTTGTATTTTTTGTAGATATGGGGTTCTTGCTATGTTGCTCAGGCTGGTGTCAAACTCCTGGCCTCCTGCCTCAGCCTCCCAAAGTACTGGGATTATAGGCGTGAGCCACCACACCTGGCCTAGTAAGTAATCTTGTAAGTGGTTTCTACTGTTGATTTCGTCTCCACTAGAACAAAACAAAAACACAAATCGAAGGAAAGGGTCAGTGAATATGGCCTACCGGTTACGCTGGCTGCATTGTTTTGAATTCCAAATCAGAGTAAAGGGTCTAGAAAGGAATTGTTGCCCTTGACTTATTAATTGGTATACAAAAAAATAAAAATAAAAATACCTTATAGAGGTATAAAATTAAGCTACATTGAGCTGTAGACAGAATTCACGTTTTACCAAAGGGACAGAATGACATGGAGTCGGGACCGAGCTGGAAGGTGTCTCGGGCAGAGGTGAAGATGGCAATCATACAAGTGAATTCTGCTGATGCCATTTCCAGTAACTTCCATTGGTTGTCAGGCCACTCAGCTAAACTCAAACAGAATATGTTTTCAGAAAAGGAGATTTGGGGGAATTTTATTTTTCATAAAAGAGATAATAAAAACTGGTGTTTTAAGGAACCAGAAAACCTTGAAGAGAATCCCTGCTACTGGAAGAAATTTTATAAGAAAGAACGCCCCTAAATTGGAGGGGGCTTCTATCCTCTGAGATCTGTGTGGAGACCCTTGAGGGGCCCTTCCCTCTCCAGAGTCCCACAGCATGACAAATGAGGGGGCCTTGACAAAGTCATCCTTCTGGAAGCTGGACCACCCTTGGAAATGGCACCAGTGAGGCTGGGGCTCATGCAGACCATCTCTGGTGTGTCCGCTATTATCGAGAAGCACCAGGAGTCAGTTTCGAAAACAGCAGACCATTGCTGGCTTCCTTGCTCCACCCGCCCACCCGCGCCGGGCCTCAGCTCTGAACTTCGTTTCTTCCCTTGGCAGGCGCTCTCATCGGCCTCTCCAGCTAAGGCTCCCCGAGCGCCGATGCCCGTGTGCCCACCCTCAGCCGTGCAGGCTGCCGGGGCCCCTGACTGCTATGGGGAGGCCTCTGCGGAGACGGGCCAGGAACAAGGACACCACAGGCAGCGGCACTGTCGCCCACGGGTGAGGAGGGTGCAGCCTGGGGTCAGGCATTTGGAATCATCACCTCCTGGAGCCCCCTCAGAATCCTGGCTCTCCAGGCCCCACATCTACCCCCTTTCTTAGCTTCAATCCTACACTCGTTCCGTTCAACCGCAACGGGTGAGGTGGCTCCCACCAAGACAGCAGTCACTCATTGCTCTGTGAATCTTCTGAGATCCTCCTCCCTGAGGCTACATTTATACTTTTAAAGGGTCCCAAAGAATCGTAGAGAAGAAGATAAACTTTTCCTACGTGGCCAAATTGCTCTGATAGGACTCAAAAACATAAAAAATAAAAGGGCAATGATATATTTACTTTCTGGTTTCTATAGTATTACAAAACCCTATACAACCAACATAAAACAAACAACAAAAAACCCACCACTGCCGACAGCAGCCAAGCACCATAGGGTTAGGGTCTTAAAAAATTAAAATACTATTCTCACTGTTCCCAGAATTTGTGTTGGAATTTTCGCTCTGAAGCCGATACTACGAGGAAAATTACATTAAAAATAATTTCCAGCGTTTACAGTGACGTGTCTCTGTTGATTACAGAGCCTTCTGAAAACAGTTAATTTAAATGTCACGTGATCAGAGGCGCAGCCGACATTGGGAATTAAGTGCCAAGAGACCAAAATCTGAAGGCCACACATAATGCCCTGCGACTTTCTCTGCCTGATTAAAACTATTTGAGAAAGATAATTGCTACTTTTGAAAGTAAAATTGATGAGGGAATTTTCTAAGTGCTGTGTCAGCTGCAGTCAGGGGATATGGATTAAGTGGCAAAAACAACAAGAGCCAAAGTTGGGGAAAGTGAAGCCAATGGCTCAGGGCCTGTGCCCCTAAAGTGCCCCATACCCACCCCACAGAGAGCAACGCACCTCAAACAGCCTGGGGTGTGCTCCCTTGGGATGTGCTCCCAGCCCGGGTCTCCTAGCCTTCCTCAGCCCCAGCTCGGAAGCCTCGCCATCTTCCTTTCTGTCCCAGGCAGGTGATCTCACTGCTCTGCCAACGCTGTAGCCTGCCAGCCCACAGCGCAAAGAAGCAGAGAGCCCTGCATCTCTGCCGCCCAAGGGACCCCAGGCACTCAGTCCTTGCCACCCGCGGCTTCCCAAGGCCCAGATCTGAGACCTTCTGGGAACAGGCTCCTGTCCTATAAACGCCAGGACCTCTGGGCTCCAGGGCAGTTTCATCAGTGAGCACCTTCCTACTCCCCTTAGCTCTCCTGGCAAGCTGGGTACAAGCTCAGCACAGAAGGTGCTTCTCGCGTTGCTCCGAGGACCTGAGGACCTGTTTCCCGAGTCTCTCAACTGCAACTCCCAGAGTGGCCCGAGCTCTCAGACTCGCTCTTCGCGTTCTCGAGCACCCTCTGACCCTCCCCAAACCAGACTCGTTCATCCCGGAAACCATGCCCAGGCGTCTGCAGGGAGACCACCGCGCTCTGAGTCTGCGCGGCCCGTACCTCCACTCGCGTTCAAGCAGGCGGTGCTGGGACACGTCGGGGCTGCGCTGGGCTGCAGCCTGGCACCCTGTGGGCGCTGCTCGGCCTCCCTCGCCCAGCTTCGAGGCTAACATCTCTGAGCCCCGCCGCCTGTGAGCCGGCCCAGGATGCCCGGGGAGGGTGCGGTTTCCAGAGGGCCAGGCCGGGGCAGGGAGTCTCGGGTCTCGGGAGCGCTGGGCGAACTCCCGGCCACCAGGACCCTCGCCCCCACCGCCCGGGGCCAGGCCGCTCAGCGCAAAGGCTGGCTGGCGGCCGGCCGTCGGGTGGGAGGGGCGCCCATCTCACCTTGGTGAACTTGACCTCCAGGTTGCGGATGGGGCGCGGCAGGGCAGGCGGCTTCTTGTCCGGCTGCCCGTTTTCCACGGCCCCGTTAGTGGTGGCCATGGCTCCTCCGCGCTCCCCGGCCCGACGCGCCCGAGTCCTTGGCGCACCGGCTCAGCTTGGGCGCTGCGCAGCCTGCTAGCGGGGTGACAGCTCCCCGCCGCTTTATGGAGCGCCTCACGCCTCCCGCCCGAGGGGGCCGTCTAATTGGCTGCAGGACCGGAGGAAGGGAGGGCGGGCGGCGGGAGGGAGGGGAGGGGGCCGGCCCGCCTCACCCCACCCCGCCCGCCGCCCCTGCGGGAGCCGGGCCACCTCACGCCCCGCCCGAGCGCCGGCTGCGCCGCCCGCGTGCTGCAGACCGGCAGGGCGACCGTGCCGTGCGCTCTCTAGCCCCGGAGGCTGCCCTTGGACGAGTTCCCCAAAGCGCCACTGGGCCCCGGAAGTCCCAGGGCTCGGACACCAGGCCCGGGCAGTGAGTTGAGGCGCAGGGGCCGCAGCGGCCGGCTCTCTCTCCGAAGTCGGGCGGGTTCGCTGGCTGCACCTGCAGTCCCCTGGCCCCTGCCGCTCCGCGCACTCGCCCAACTTTGCCCGGCGCGCCACGCTCCGGGGATGCGCGCTCGCCTTGGGGCCCTGCGCCGTGCCTGGGGTTCAGTCTCAAGGCCAGGCAGCCCGCGTCGCTGCGCACGTGCCGGCCTACGGTCCCCGCGCCCTACCTTGCCCAAGCCCAGACAGCCAGCGGGATCACCCTGGGCCCGGGTGGCCCAGAATTTCCCCGCAGCCCTGGGGCTTCCACGCCAAGAGGCAGAAGGAGACAGCAAAGCGTCAGGCCCTTCCAGCGCTGTGCTCCGGAGCCCCGCACCACTGGGCCCCTGTCCTTCACGGGCGCACACCGTCCTGCAGCCCAGAGTCCCGCGGGAGTTTTCTAAGTGCTGTGACAGCTGGAGTAGGGGGCTATAGATAAGTGGCAAAAACACGAAGAGCCAAAATTGGGGGAAATGAAGCCAATGGCTCACAGCCTGTGCCCCTAAAGTGCCCCATACCCAGCCCACGGAGAGCAGCGCACCCCAAACAGGGGTGTCCTCCCTCGGGAGGCGCTCTTAATAAATTAAAGTTCCTCTGATGGTGGAAAGGTCTTGTGCTGTTAGGGGTGGGAATGCCCAGCTGTGCCGGGACAAGGGGTCAAGGGGGCCAGGAATGGGCTAGGGCTGACCAACATTGGCCAGTCTGTGGTCCATCTCAGGCTCACACGAACACTGGTGAGTCCCAGAGTGATGCCACCTCTGTCCTCAGCTGCTCCTGCCAATTCCTGGGTTCCTTGCCTTCTCAGCCCGCCCCATGGCTCCCACTTAGGAAAACATCTGGGCAGATATCTCATGCCAGGGCCCCTGGCTGGATGCTGAGCCCTAGTGTCTGGGTGCCAGGGCCCAGCAGGACCCACAGGACTCCCTGCACAGGGGCCAGAGATCCAAGACCAGTGGGTGCACCAAGCACTGGGGGCTGCAACTAGAGAAGCTTTCCAGACTGAACTATTCCAAGACTTTATCTAGGATCCTGGATAGGTGAAATTATGTCACGTGGCCAAAGCTTTTTTTTTAAAAAATTGAGAATTTGTAGAGGAAACCGTGTTAATTAAAAAATTTCTGGATTGATGGGTGGTGGTGAATATGGTTTGGGGCTTAGAACTTTGTTCCTTTCAGGTAAGCGAGCACAGCCTGTTTGCTTGCATGAAGTCAGGAACGAAAGCCACCTCACCTCAGACCCAAAGATGTCCCCACGACCAGAGGTGTCTGGCGTCGGGAGCCAGTTGCAATGACGCCGACTGGCTCACCTGCAGCTCCCCGGGTTGATCCCCACGTGATCCTTGGAGCCTGAGATCAGAGCGCAATGCTCAGCCATAGACCTTGTCACAGTAGGCGGCTCCCAGAGAGCAGGTCACGAGGATGGGCTGAGCTCTGGGCTTGTCCAGACAGGCAGGCTCTACGTCTGCTCCCCTTGGCTTGCCAGTCAGCAGGAGGTGAGGGGGCAAGATGCTCTTCTCCCATTTTACAGATGAGTAAACAGAGGCATGCGGATACTTGTCCCAGACATTGCCGTCAGTGGAGGAACCAAGGCCGGACTGTGTGGGATTGGGTGGTATAAGGCATGGAAGAGGGGTTTCTCTGATATTCCTCTGTCCCATTTTAATCAACGTGAGCACCTGTGTCCTGCAGTGGCCCCATGTCGTTGGGGCTGCACGGGGTATACTGCAGGTACCAAGTGCTTTACAGGTACAAAAGCGGTGGCAGTGTCCCTCCTGGCTGTGTTTTTCCTAGGAATCAAATCTCGTAGCCCTGGCCTCAGAGGTGGTGACAAAAGGGGATTGAGGAGGAGGAAGGACTCATTTTTTTTTTTTCTCACAGGGGGTTACTGGAGGTCTGGGAGGGGAGTGGGCTCCCCAAGTGACAGAGTGGCAGAGGCCCAGCTGCTTCTGACACATCTCTGAACTGAATCCCTGCTGGGTACCCTTGGACTGGACACTTGAGCTCTCTGAACTTCAGTTTTCTTTTCTGCAGTCTCCTTCCACTTTACAGTGTCTGGGGAAGCTTGAGAGAGAGAACACATGACACGGTGCTTTCTAAACTGTAAAGTGCTATCTAGATGCCAGTTCTTAAGTTTCCTGTTCTTCCTGGAGACTGGTTCCTTTCAGCAGGCTTTTCTTCTTGGAAGTCAGCAAGTTCCCTTCGCTTCCTTCTGGCTCGCGGGAGCTCTTCGAGTAACAGTCCCGCTGCTGACTTCGTTGTGAGAAAGTATTTTTATTTTGTATTCAGCTCTGTGCTGCTGCCATTGCCTGCTGCTTGACTGCTTAGAATGTCAAATGGGCTGAGGCCCAGACATTTCATGGCGAGGGCTTGTTTGTTTGATGAACTCTTAATAAAAATAAGCATGAAGGAAAGACTAAGATAAAATAGAAGTTGAGTAACTTCCCCCTAAACTCAATCTAATTCCATTTTTACACCCATAAGCATTTGTGGGTGACGTCGAGATCTGTAGCAAATGTGATTAATAATAATGGTGACAGTAATGGAGCCCCCAATATTGTTCCACTGTATTTCGAGTCTGGTACCTGAGCCTCATTGAGGGGTGCCCAGGCCTGTTGAGGACCCTTACTGTCCCCAGAGCCCTTCCAGGCCACTCACCTCACTCCGTGCCTGGGAGCTGAGGCCAGGCCCTGGGACCCAGGTGCGTGATCTATACAGAGGCTCCTTGGTGAGGGCAGTTCTTTGATGGAGGGAAGCCAGTGTAGCCCACCCCACTGGGCAGCTCTGAGGTGGGCTCTTTGGTGACTTAGGGCAGGTGACCTAACCTAAGTTTTCTTGGTTATAAAATGGGGGTGATACTTGTCCCTGAGCTGACTTCACTGTGAGCACCTCCCTGCTGGTATCAATGCAGTAGGTTCTGTGTTTCGTGTGAATCGCCCAGTGACTTGCCCCAGACTTGACTTGAACAGAGAACTATGTACCTTTCAGCCTCACTATAACTTAAGCTCTGTCAAGCCTGCTCTACACTGCAACATCATTCTGTCCTCAGGGAACTCGCAGGCAAATCTGTGTCCCTGCGAGTTTCCTTCAGTGACGATAGCAGAGGCGATAGCACCCCGGGCCGAAGAAAGATGAGCTGGTCAACACCCAACCAAGGCGAAGAGAAAGGAGCTACCACACCGACCACAGGGTGCTTTCCACGGCTTTCTCTTTGGCCCTGCTGGTCCTTTCTGGCCCCGAGGGACGGTCTTCCACGTACCATACTCATTTGAGGTAAATCAGACTTAGACCAGGCAGAAGCAAACAGAGAACTAATTACGTAAAAGCAAAGAGGATACCTCACAATATTTGTGGGTCAGGTCTTGCACACATACATACATACAGCCTGACAGTTCATGGCTGCTGGAACTTTCCCCTTAGTTTATCTTCCAGTGGTTGAGAGTCATGACAAGGCCAGGAGAGAGCATAGTGGATAGGGTAGACCAGCTAGTTGACCGCCCAATTCTTTTCTTTCTTGCCAATGGAACCCCATATTATTGAGGGCAGCAATGTGCTTTGATAAAACATATTTCCCACCTCTCTTACAGACTGCGCTGGCTAAAGAGATATAAGCCAAAGTCTTTGCTTGGGGCTTCCAAAGAAGCTCTTTACATGGGGCTGAGTCAGCTGAGAGGGTCTTCATTCCTGCTGCCTGGACCACAGACATGAGGGCTGTATCTCCAGCAGCCATCTTGCAACCATAATGTAATTCCGCAATGGAGATTACATAGTAAGGAAGTTGGAACAGACACATAGAAAGAGTTCAGGTCCCTGATGACCCTGGAACCAGCCTCTTCAGGCCTAAATTTTCTTTCTTTCTTTTTCTTTTTCTTCTTTTTTTTTTTTTTATGTGAGCAAAGGGTAAATCCTGGTATTATTAAAGCCTGCCATTTTGGTTTTCTATTATATGTGGCTGAACTAAATCCTAAGCAATATAGCTGGCTGTTGGCCACCACTATGACAAAAAAAGCAAACTTCTAAACTGAAATGGAATCATCATGTCATTTTTTTGTATAAAAGAGCAGCACATTAAAAATAATTTTATCACCATCTCACCATCTCTGCTATTTTGACCTTAATCAAATGTCCTAGACATGCTGTGCTCAGGTTTATAATAAAATTGTTTTTAAAGACACTAATCCTAGGATGAAATAAATGAAGCTACCTCATTGATTCATTCAAAGCTTTAATTGCCTAAATTGGACGGTGACGTCCTACTAGGGAAGAGAATCTCTGTGGTATAAAAGCCCCCGTGGAGGTGGGAGGGTAGCCTACCATCCCGTGGTGCCCATGGGTGTTAACTGTGCCCTCAAATCTACTGAGGAAGGTGGCAGCACTCAGAGCTGATGTGACTGTACAGGTCCCCAGACCACCCAGACCTGGAAGATGCTTGGCCAGCCCAGTGTTCTATCCAGGTAGCAAGAAAGCAGACTCTTGGTTTGGAAGTATAGAAAATGTCACTCCATATTATCACTGCATGTCACTCATAATGTTCCACACTTCTCAACACCACCACCAGACATTCTCAGTGATATGAGAAGTTGCTCGCAAACTTTCCAAACCTCTTCAAAATTCAAGGATTCTGAATTTTGAAACAAGCTTAAATCTTTTT